AGCTGGAAGAGATATGCCATCCCGACAAACAAGAGCAAAAATTTTTAGGGAAAATACAAAGGCAACAAATCCTCCCAAAATGGATAATGAGGGAAAATAGCCTAGTGCCAGCAAGGGAACAAATCCCCGAGACCCCATTATTCCCTCATGGAGACAAGGATTCTTCACTGCCATCCACTCCTTTTTGGCGGCTCATGACTTGGACAATCTTAGTAAATCAACTATCGCTGAATCTTCTGAAGAAGCTTCACGGGCCATTATCAAATTCCAGGCTGACACATCAAGCATTGATACCCAGACAGATTGAGCGACTGTGTAGACATGATTTTTCTTTACCCCCTTCTCTGTCTTTTTTTAAGTGACATTCTGGATATTTTGTTATTTGCATTAGAGGACAAATGGTTTTTATTTGTGGTGGGGTGAGGCTCACCTTTTGTATACTATTTGTCACTCATATTTTTGTGTATATATTTGGGCCATTCTGTTTAAAAATTGTGTTTTATACATTGTTTCTGTGGATGTTTGAGCTTGTGGCTCCTTTTGTTTTAAATTGCAAAATGATTTTGACCCGGCCGAAAATTTTTGCCACTTCTCGTGTGTTGAATGTGGCTATTCTTTTGCAAAATTTAAGTCTCGGTTCCGATCAATACCGATGACTTGAATAGTGCTCGTGATCGAACGAACAAGAATGTGCAGCTACGATGAGGCCAAATGAAGTTGCATAGACAATATGTGAACTCTTTGTATCTCGTTATGACTAGCCTAGTATCAAATTTAGTCTCTTGTGATGATCATTGCACAGTGCAAAAGTGTGGAGTCTTGTTGACTATAGTGTCAATGCCTAGTATGATAAGCTTACTTTGAAACATGCATGACAGATCCTAGAATTTACCTCGTTGGTTCGATCGACTAAGTAAGGCTATCTCTTGATATGATATTAGGCAACTTTAAAGAGTGTGAGCCAATTTGACATATACCTCTTTGTGGCCTACCTTGTGAGCATGTGTGAACCTCTCTTGAACACCCCTTGAGCCTTACCTTTCTTTGGAAGAAACTTGATGAAATCATAATCTTTCTTTATCCATTACCCATAATCCTCATGAAGTTGTGGTTAGTTTGAATAGCCAACATAGGCCAAAAGCCTAAGTTGAGGGTGTGGTGAAAAGAAAAGGTAAATCAAGAAGTGCAAGAAAGTCCCTCTTACCCATGGTTTTGAGAAAAAAATGGAACCCCTCCATAAAAATAATAAATAAATAAATTTGTGGAATAAAGTACAAAAGAAATGGGGTTTCCAAACAATCCATGGAAAGTGAATAATAGAAAGACTTATGAGCACTAAAGATAATGATGAAGGAAAAGGAAAGGAAGTGTTGTGAGCACCACATTTCATGAGGATGAAAGTCACTGAGCCTAAATGACCATACCTTTGCACTCAGCCCCATTACAAGCCTTTAAAAGACCTTTTTGATCTTGAGTGAGCTGAAACAAATGTTGATCGGAAAATACGGGCAAACCTATGGGTGAAAGCATGCATTGTGTTCTTCCTTGTGAGAGTGAGCGTTGCATTTGTTTCCGGAACTTTAAATGATTAAACCTTTGGGTGTGAAATTGGAATCATTCCTTGTGTGAGGGCATTTGAACACTTTGGTTAAGCTTGAACTTCCATTTGAAGCAAGTATTATGAGCATAAGATTCTTTGATATTGGTGAGTCACAACTTGAATCTTTGAGTGCACATTTGATATTTGCAAAAGTAACTTGAGTCTTGTTGTGTGCATTCATGATTGAGTCTTGTGTAGCACTGTTCGAGACCTCCTTTTTGAACGACTAACCTTGAGTTTGCTTGACGAAAAGCAAAAGTTTAAGTTGGGGGTGTTGATAAGTCCACAAATTGGACTTATTTAGGGCTATATTTTGATGGAATTAGTGTCCTCAAATGCATATTTTGTCTCAATATTTGATGAAAACCCTTAAGTTTAAGGTATTTGGAGTTTGAGGGAAAACATGGACACTACTTAACAAAAAGAAACAAAAGCAGCTGAAAGAACGAAGAAATGAGGATCTGAGAATCGCCGAACCCATTTGGCGAGTCACTAAAAGGTCGTACCTCACCTTTTGTTCCAGTGTACTGAGCCCTGAAAGAAAGGATCAAATCGGCGGTGAAAAGGAGCAGTCGGCGTGTCGCCGAGCAGTTCCGTGAAATAGTACTATGTCGCCTAATGATCCAAAACACGACGATGCTGAAGGATAGAGCAAGACAGTGATGAAACCTAGCAAAGGGTGGATCGGCGATCTCGACTAATGGTTCCAAATGATCCGTTGCAACACAGATTTTTGAAAACTATAAATACTCTTTGAGAGTTGTAGCTTAATATGAGATTTTTAATATAGAATTTTTAACATAGACTTTTGAGTTCTAAGTTTGGAGAGGGTTTTGAAGAACTTGAAGATTCAAAGGGTTTCAACTCCAAGAATTTGGACTTGGGTCTAGTGGATTCTTCACTCTTGGCTGGTTTTGAGACTTAAATCTTCATACCCATTTGGATGCAAACTCATATTGGTATAAATTTCTATCTCTTTTACATGTCTAGCTAAAACCCAATTCTTGGGGTGTGATTTTGTGAATACGGGTTAGATTATCTGTTGGGTCTTGCTTGTTGATGATTTATTTGTTGTTTAGATGTGATTTCATTTAGTAGTTGTGGTGGAACTTAATGAAATTGTATTTGCAAATATGATTTCACCTTTGTGTTTTCGACTTGCTCGAGAGAGAGGTCGTAAAACTAAGACTACCAAATTGATGGCCGGTGGGATTGAGTCAACATGAGGTTCAACTCGAGAGAGTGAACCCTAGTCCTTCTCTCACACACTCAGCTCGAGAGAGTGAGTGGGCTAAGGTGGAGGCTGTTCTTCATGCAGCAAGTGGGTGTCCGAGAGGAACCCATTTGATTCGGGGTAAGTTGCTCGAGAGAGAATTTACCCCCACTATAGTCTAGCCTAGTCACAAATATTCAACGAATTTATTATCAAAAGCATGTACCCAATACTTAAGTTTTTCCCGTATTCCTATCACATCCCAAGAACCCCATCTCCTTGATTAGTACTCTTTGCATTTTTGCTGTTTTTTTGTTTACTTGTGAAAAACCCCATTGATAATTGACGCTTGCGTCACCCCTTAGATTTAACATGTTTATATTTGAAAATGTTTTTAGCTAGGACTAATTAGAACAAAATTTTATTTTTCTATTAATTCTCAAACCCACTCCCTTGGGACTCGACCCCAACCCTTGGTTGGGTTACTTTACTATTGTACAATCATAGACACTTGTATTGAAAGTTGTGTCTTAATTAAGCAAACATCACCGCTGCCGAGGACTTTCAATTCAGAAGTGTTTTACTAGCTTTTATTCTAAGTGTAGTTAGATTTCCTAATTTTATGTCTTGTTCTTTGTCTATGTCTCTTACAAGTGAGTTCGATTGTGTATGTCAAATACCAGAAGTTAAGGAGTCCCATTAGTCCCATACGATCCAGAACTTCGGAAAATAATCCGGAAAATGGTGAACGCACAAGAACTTGAGGCGCAGAGACAAAGATTTGGATTGGAAGCTGAAACCGTCGCAAGAGGTATTCAGCCTAATGCTGTGAACAACCAACCTAGGGTAGTGGATGAAAACATAGCAGTAGATGAAATCATTCCTCTTCACCGCCAACCAATAGCTCCAAGGGGTAGACCACAACCTCTAGCTCACGTGATGTATGGAGAGGATGACTTAGATTTGGATGGAGCTGGAGCTACTGGAGTGATAGTGTTACCTACACTACCTCCAGGTGTTAAATTCACAATCACCAACACTATGATTCAACTGCTGAATCTGAAAGGTATGTTCAGAGGTGCATCGGGTGATGATGCTAACCAATATCTGATGAATTTTGTGGCTATCTGCAAGTCGCAAGAAAATCCTGGAGTTAGCCAGACAACAATGAGACTGAGAATGTTCCCATTGTGTCTTACTGGAGAGGCAAAAATTTGGCTGAATGAGATGCCCAATGACTCAATTAGGACTTGGACTGAACTGAAAGAAGCTTTTGTGGAACGATTCTTTCTAGAATCAAAAGAGCTGCAAATGAAAGACGAGATAAGTGCCCATAAACAGCTACCAAGAGAAGCAATGCATTACACCTGGTGGAGATTCAGCCAAAAGATGAAGAAGTGACCAAACCATGGTCTCACTGAGAGACATCTAAAACATGCATTTTACAGATCTTTAAATTATGTTACTAAACCTGTTGCTGATGCAGTGTGTGGATGATCTTTTATAAGGAAGCCATTCTCAGAGAGCATGTAACTGATGGACGAGGTTTCAAAGAATAAAAGGGCATGGTACACCAGGGATGCAAAAGTAGGAGTTCTTGGGTATACTTATGAACTTTCAGCTGAACAAAGGAAGAGAGAAGAAGAAAGGGATCAAGACATAGCACACATGAGGACCCAAATAGATCTACTCACAAAGCATATTGTCTCCAAGTTTGAAAAAGTAAATGTCGTGGGACAGTCAAACATGTATGAAGATCAGGACATCGATCTAGATGAAGAGGCTAATTACCTGGGCAACCAAGGAGGTTTCCGAAATTATAACTTGGGCAATCAGGGTTACAATTCTGGAAATGCAGGTCAGAACTATTCAAGGGAAGGATAGTATGATAGGCCAACAAATAGAGAGCAGGAAACTGGAAGAACAGAGATGGGTACAAAAATGATCGAAGTGGTGTCTGTGTGCCCCCAGGTAATAGAGACCGGGCGAGTGGTAGTTCTAGCGGGTCTAAGCTGGAAGACATGTTTGCCAAGGTGCTCCAAAAGGTTGAATCAACTGATGCAGGGGTAAATGAGATGAAAGGTGATTTCTCCAGTATGATTCAATTGGTAGACTCTCACACCACCTCCATCAAGAAGATTGAGCAATAGTTGGGGGAACTTTCAGGTTTATTAAATTAGAGGAAGAATGGGTCATTACCAAAATCCCAAGAAGGATGGGCATTGCATGGCTATTGCCACCAGGAGTGGTAAGGCTCTTCCTGACCCTATTTCTGCAGGTACTACACATGAGCATGTGTTAGAGAAAGCTGGAAGAGAGGAGGATGAAGCTGAACAAGTAGATGACTTGGAGTATGCTCAACCATTAGCCAAACCAGCAGGAGCAAAAGAAAAAGAGGTTGAGGGAACCATGCCTTTACAACAGATCCCAAGACCACGTCCTCCTTGCCCTCAAAGGCTTAAAAAGAAAGCCAAAGATGGGAAATTTGCGAAGTTCATCACCATGTTGCGACAACTGTCAGTAAACATCCCACTGGTGGAAGCACTAGAGCAAATGCCGAGATATGCCAAGTTCATGAAGGACTTGGTCACAAAGAAAAGAGCTGTAAGTATTGATTTAACTAACAATATTCATCACTGCAGTGCTATTGCTACCAGGTCTCTGGTACAGAAAAAGGAGGATCCGGGTGCATTCACCATACCGTGAACCATTGGATCAATCAAATTTGCAAAGGCCTTGTGTGGCTTAGGGGCCAGTATAAACTTGATGCCACTATCCATCTACAAGCAACTGGGATTAGGGGTTCCAAAACCAACATCCATGAAATTGATGATGGCAGATAGGTCAGTGAAGCAACCTATGGGCTTTCTATGTGATGTGCTCGTAAAGGTAGACACATTCATCTTTTTGGCAGACTTCGTGATCTTGGATTGCGAAGTAGATTTTGAGGTTCCCATTAATTTGGAAAGACCATTTCTGGCCACAGGACGAGCATTGGTAGATGTTGAGTGAGGAGAACTGAAATTTAGAGTCAACAAAGAAGAGGTAAAGTTTAATATTTGTAGGTCCATAAAGCAGCCACATGCCATGAATGTGGTTTCTGCAATACAGGTCTTTGATGAAGAAAAAATGGGAGCAACTATTGAAAAGAGGCTGGATGTTGAGACCTTAGCCGCAGTGCTGATGAATTTTGAAGCTGATTTTCGATCTGACTATGTAGAGACCGTGAATGCTTTGCAGGGTATGGGAGCGCATCCTAATGCTCCAAAGAAATTGGACCTAGACTTGAAAAACATGCCAAGTCCTCAAGCAAAACCATCTATTGAGGAGCCACTGTTACTGGAACTGAAACAGTTACCCACTCACCTGAGATATCTATTTTTAGGAGCTAACAACACTTTACCTGTGATTTAGGCTGTGGATTTGAATAATGAACAGGTTTAAGCTGTGATCAAAGTGTTGATTAGGTACAAAAGGGCCATTGGGTGGACCTTGCTGATATCATCGGGATACCTCCAGGTATATGCACCCATAAAATTCAACTTGAGGAGGACTGCAGCCCAAGCATTGAACACCAGTGGATGCTAAACCTACCTATGCAAGAGGTGGTAAAAAAGGAGATCATCAAGTGGTTAGACGCTGGGGTGGTGTACCCTATTTTTGACCATCATTGGGTCAATCAAGTGCAATGTGTGCCCAAAAAAGGCAGTATGATTGTGGTTGCAAATGAGAAGAATGAGTTGGTCCCGCAGAGGCCAGTTACCGGATGGCGAGTGTGCATGGATTACAAGAAGCTGAACAAGTGGACCTTGAAGGATCATTTACTGATGCCTTTCATATACCAGATGCTTGACAGGTTGGCTGGCAAAGTGTGGTACTGCTTTTTAGATGGATACTTTGGCTACAAACATATATCAATTGCTCCTGAAGATCAGGGAAAGACAACCTTTACATTTCCTTATGGCACCTTTGCATTTAAAAGCATGCCATTTGGACTATGTAATGCACCAACAACTTTCCAGAGGTGTATGATGTCTATCTTCTCAGACATGGTGAAGGACACTCTAGAAGTCTTCATGGATGACTTTTCAGTAGTAGGCTTTAATGATTGTTTGCTTAATATTAGCAGGGCCTACAGAGATGCGAGGAGGCCAACCTAGTGTTGAACTGGGAGAGGTGTCATTTCATGGTCAAGAAAGGCATAGTCCTTGGCATAAGGTTTCACAAAAGGGGATAGAGGTTGACAAGGCCAAAATTAAGGTGATTGAAAAGTTTCCTCCACCTATTTGTGTGAAGGATGTTCAGAGTTTCTTAGGACATGCCGGATTTTATAGGCATTTCATCAAGGACTTCTCCAAAATTGCACACCCCATGTGCAAGCTTTTGGAGAAGGAGGTGAAATTCATTTTTGATGAGGCATGTCTTAGAGCATTTGAATGCCTGAAGGAGAAGTTGATTTGTGCACCAGTAATCATTGGCCCTGATTGGGCTGAGCTGTTTGAGGTAATGTGCGATGCTAGTGGTATTGCTGGGCACTAGAGTTATAGTCCATACAGATCATGCAGCTCTAAGGTACCTCATGGCAAATAAAGATGCCAAACCAAGGTTAATCAAATGGGTATTACTTCTTCAGGAGTTTGATTTCGAGGTCAAAGATAGGAAAGGTTGTGAAAACCAGGTGGCTGATCACCTGTCTAGGTTAGAGGCTGAAAAGAAAGAGGAGTGTGAACTAGAAATCAATGATGCATTCCCGGATGAGCAGGTATTGGCTGCAACTCTTGATCTTATCCCTTGGTTTGCTAATTTGCTAACTTTCTTGTTAGTGATTTGATGCCTGAGGGGTTGACATTTCAACAAAGAAAGAGGTTCCTGCATGATGTGGGTAAGTATTTTTAGGATGAACCTTATCTGTACAGGGTGTGTGCTGATAACATCATCAGGCTATGTATCCTTGAAGCTTAGATGTTGCATATCCTAGAATCATGTCACTCTTCTCCGGTAGGTGGTCATCATGGAGATGCTTGGACAGCCCACAAGATACTTAAATGTGGGTATTACTGGCCCACAATTCATCAGGATGCGATGGACGTAGTAAGGAGTTGTGATGTGTGCCAACGACAATGAGCCATCTCTCGGCGCCATGAGTTACCTATGACACCTATTTTGGAGGTGGAGTTGTTTGATGTGTGGGGAATTGATTTCACGGGGCTATTTGTGAGCTCCTATGGGCAGAAGTACATATTGGTTGCAGTGGATTATCTGTCCAAATGGGTTGAGGCAGTCTCTTTGGCCGAGAATGATGGCAAGAGTGTTGTTGGTTTTCTAAAGAAGAATATCTTCTCAAGGTTCGGCACACCAAAACTATCATCAGTGATGGTGGGTCTCATTTCTGCAACAAGGTATTCAGTTCAGTTCTGGCCAAATATGGTGTTAAACAACACAAGGTGGCAACATCTTATCACCCACAGACTAGTGGCCAAGTGGAAGTCTCCAACAGAGAAATTAAAGCAATTCTGGCTAAAACAATGAATGTCAATAGGACAGATTGAGCACGGAAGTTAGATGATGCTCTATAGGCATATCAGACAGCTTTCAACATGCCTATTGGTATGTCTCCATATCAATTGGTGTTTGGAAAGGCATGTCATTTGCCGGTTGAGGTTGAGCATAAAACACTTTGGCACTAAAGAAGCTGAATATCAGTTGGAGCGAAATAGCAAACCTGAGACTGGATCAGATTAATGAGATGGATGAGTTCTATTTGAGAGCGTATGAGAGGTATGCACTGTACAAGGAGAGGATGAAGTTGTATCATGATAAGCATATTGAAATGAGAACCTTCACTCCTAGTGACTTGGTGTTACTTTTCAACTCTAGACTTCGCCTGTTTCTGGGAAAATTGAGATCCAAATGGTTTGGACCTTTTAAGGTTACTTAGGTATTCCAGTCGGGTGCGATTGAGCTTGAAAATGACAAAGGCGAGAGGTTCGAAGCCAATGGCCAGCGAATCAAGGCATACCGGTGTGTTCCAAAAGATGTGAAGATCGTGGAGGAATGTAAACTTGATGAAGCCTGAGTAATCAAGTAACTTGCGTCGCGCCGCGATGTTAAATTGTGCGCTACTTGGGAAGCAACCCAAGATGTAATTGTATTAGGTATTTCCTTTTGTTTTAGATTCACTATGTGTTGATGTGTGTAGGAATGATTGGACTAAGAGTTGTAGAACTGGGTGCAGACTACTTTTCACGGGCAGTCTCACGGACGGTGCCCTTCACGGGAAACTTCACGGTCTGTCTCAACCACTTACAGGATATCGAGGCTATTGGAAATTGCCATAAAAAGGTTCACGGTCCGTCGTAGTCTATACGGACCGTCTAGCCTCTCGTGAACCTCAGGTGAGAACTCTAGTTCAAAGTCACGTACACATATATTTTCACAGACTATAATGCCTTTCACGGGCAACTTCACAGTCCGTCGTTCACAACCCAGTAGTAACAGTGAACCGACCTGACCTGCGCGTGTACCAAAGTGGAAATTAAATGTATATTTGCTTCCTAAGTGCCAAAGGCAGATTTTTCTCCCTCTTCTTCTTCCTATAACGGTTCTTCAAGAGTTAAAAAATGGTTCCCATCATCCATTAATCCTTAGTTCATCCAAGAATTGAAGCCCTAAACCTACATTGTCAAGAACTTCAAGCCAAGTCCACTGGGTCTTCTTTTTGAACGAAATTCTCTTCTAAATCTCTAAATAAGTTACTTCATAACTTGTTATAAGTTTGATCTTATTTAAAAACAAGTTAGATTTACTTCGATTTAGTTGAAATTAGCATGATCATGTGAGAAATAATATGGATTGGTGTGAAATTGTTGTGGGTTAGATTGAATTGTGTAACATTGATGGTTTTTGTGTGGGTATGAGTAGGGTATAAGTGTGTTTGATGAATATTGTTCTTTTTAGCATCTTGCTTGTTGAAATTTAGCAGTGATAGTAAGTCACTTGTGGTCATGTGTAAAAAAATGGGGTAACCTGTACTATGGTGAAGTTGGGGGAGAAACTTATGGAATGAATGGTTAAGTGTCAGATCACGAGAGGCTTCACGGACCGTGGAAGCCACCACGAGCCGTGAAACCACTCGTGGACCACACTTCAATTACATCCACCCAATAAATAGGTTCACGAGTATGATAACGGACCGTGGTTCACTCCACGGGCCATGAAACTGTCTGTGAACAACACTTGGTCAACCCACTGTTGCACATTGACTCTGTAAGAACTCCACGAGAAGTTTTATTAACCGTGGTACCTACCATAACTCGTGTGAGCTCTCGTATAGTTTACTTGGTGTGTAAAATTTTATTTTTTTCTGTACTTTTATTTCTGTCATCTTTTGATTCTGTGGCCCTTCCCAATGATAGATTGGGTGATGGCATTCTTAAGGCAAGGTGTCATGATGTAATTACACAGGGGAAGTATGAGTACTCGATAGTGTGTCATTTTACTGATTTTTGTACTAATGAGTGTTGTGTTTCTCAGGTACTATGCCTCTTCGACAAAAGAACGCGACCAAACATTCCTCCCCTGCTGCATCTCCATCGAAAGGCCATAATGCTTCCAAATCTAGTAGTTCGAAAGTACAAATGAATATTACACTTGACGATCATCCACCTCGGGCTACTAGATCCACAGTAGCTAGGGCTATCCTCCAGGACACTCCTCCCCAGTCTGAAGAGGGAAGTAGTAGTTTCGGTAGCAGGGAGGAATCGGGAAGTTAATGTGATGCTACTTCGGGAAGCCAGTAGGATGATGGGTCGGGAGGCAGTGCAAAGTCTGAAAGCGGCTCTCAGGAAGATGCTACTACTTCTCCACCTGCAGTAATACTAGAGGATAACATGGGAGCTCAAACAAAGACAGGTGCAGCAGAGGGGGATGATGAGGTGACTCCAGACGATACAATGGTCCAGTATGTGAGCATCCGTAAATTTGACCCAATAGTGCGACATCAACTTATTCACTATTTCAGAGTTTTGTGGATGGTGAACAGATCGGAAGATTTCTTTGAAAAGGGAATTGTAAGCAAGTCAGGGAGATTTAGAAAGAGACCACTCATGCTTGAGACTAGGGTAGTGATGGCAAACATCCATGCATTTTCAGAGATTTACAAACTGTTCCAGATTCACCAGTTTGAATTGATGACTACTGCTCCTAGGGAATACACCGGCCATCTACCTCGAGAGTTCTATGCTATCTACGCCACCACCCTATTGAACTGCTGCGGAAACTGAAATAACAAAGAGAGCACAAAAGACACCTGCAGCCACATTTGCTCATTTAGACACAATCACTATTCAAGGTAAGACTGTGAACATCTTCGAGGAAACAATTAATCAAATGTTACATGGCCCTCAGTATACAACACCAGCTTCTGTGGGACAATTTGAGGGCAAACACACGTTGTCACGAGTGAATCAGAGATGGATGATCCTACTTCACGAGAGCGCATCATATGTTGGATTGCCAGGTACATTGTTACAGACAAAGAAGCAGTAGCATGGGTGTCTGATCCAAATGTACAGATTACGAAAGCATCCCTCACTTTTCCAGCCAAGATCTGGTGGTCAATAGTTCTAGCACGGCTGTGATCCACATCAAATGATAATACAATGTCTCCATCACTAGCATCATTGGTTGCATGCCTCATGGCCGGGTACCTTGTGAATGCGGGTCGGATTATCGCCATGGAGATACGAGATAGAGCACTGAATGAGCGAGCAGGTTGGTCATTTCCCTGTCTGATAGGGAAGCTTTGTTTGCAGGCGAACATTCCTCCAAATAAGTTGGTGGAAAAATCGATGGAGGCATCTAAGATAACTGTAGCTTCAAAAATTCAGGATGTCAACAATCCTCTTTATGGGAGGAAATCAGGTGCAGCGGGACCATTAGCAGTAGTACCTCATACACCACTAGTCATCCCACAGGTTGCAGACCAAACTGAGCAGGGTGAGTCATCACAACCAGCTTTGGGGGAACCATCATCGCCACCAGCTTCAAACCCCCAGGCTACAGGTAATTATATCACTCTCCCAACTGATTTTCTTGAGAAATTGGTTGCAGATCAGCAGTAGACCAGGACCTTAGTCGACCAAATCATCCATAGGATTCCCCAGCTTATAAAGCACAATGTGTTAGTTGCGGAGAAGAGTATTAAAGATGAAATGAGGAATGAGCTTGTTGTTTTGAAGAATAGGATGGATGGCTTTGAGGCACATGTCCGAACACAGTTGCAGGCTGCCGGCTCAAGAAATAATGAAGAGTTCAAGAAGCAGTTAACCGAGATGCGACCCCAAGTTGCTAAACTAGCTAAAAAGCCAGTACAAGTGCCCACTCCAGTCATGTCAAAGTCATTAATGAAGATATTCGATGAGCAGCCTACTGCTCAGTCTCTTGACGATATCTGGGGGAACTCCCTAAGAGTAAGTCCGACAAGAGGAAACACATAGCCAGAGAATCTGGTGATGAGATACCTGCTGACCTATCCAGAGAGGCAAGAAGGCATAAAAATAAAGCTCGAAAAGCATCAAGGAAGGAAGATAGATAAAAAGAAGCACTTGAACAACAACATCGAGATGCTGTGTTAGCTGGAGCTTCTGGTAGCGGAGTACCTGTCCCTGTGAGTGGTAGCCATCCTGATCCTGAGTTGGTGTCTGAGAGTGCACCCATTGATAAGGGTACCGACACTGATCCGACTACCAGTGCCTCAGGTATGACCCCTCCTCATAGCCCTATTTTATTCGTCGTTATCGACTTTGAGGGCTAAGTCTTTTTGTTTGGGGA